AGCCTTGCTACGCAAATTTTAGTCAAATTATTTGTTGTAAATTGTCACGGATTATCTTTGTTGGAGGTTTTTTTTTAATTTTGTACTTGTAAGTGGGTGTCTTAGAAAAATGTTTTTAGTACAATCCCATCTCCTAATATAAACTTTGTAATAATAAAAATGTTAGTCTTATGAAAGTGTTCCAAGAGGCTTCATAAGTGTCACTTGGACTTTTATCTTAGTTTACTTTGAATTAAAATTTTCGTAATTAGAATTTTATTTTATCGTGACAATATATATATATATATATATATATATATATATATATATATATATATATATATATATATATACTTTCCCATATTTCGAAGACGAAACAATTTTGTTATTTTTACACCTCTACCTCAAGTGATGTCTCTCGTTTAAGAAATGTGAAAATGAAACTTTCCTACATAATCTTGTATCATCACAGCTCCCCTCAAGTTTGTCATTTCATTTTTTCCACCCTATTATAAGTTGGTCTAGTTTTGACAACACTTTGTCTTGCATCTAACTCATTGTCACAAGAGTGAATGAATAGTTTAGACCAATATGTCACACCTCTAAACACCCATTTCCTAGAGTTGGATTTAAGTAGAGACATGAATTAGCAATGTTTCAAAAAAATAAATATCAACTTTACAGTACTTCACCCATCACATTGAACTTTAAGATTTGCAACATCACCACTGTCGTTATCTAAAAAGAGAAAAATGTTGAAGATAGTGATCAAATGACCAAGAAAATGGTGAGTTTGCATAAATTTGATGATTTTGTCCCTCGTACTACATGCATGCATGCATCTTCATCTTTCACACTAGCATTTGCACATTAAAGTCTCATATCTATTTGATACATGCATAAACGCCCACTACCTCCCTCGTAAGGGTATAAAAATAGGCTTAACCCAATAGGTTGACCTAAAAAACCTAAGAAATAGATTAGACTAAACAAAAAGATGTAACATAAATTAAATCAAGTCTATTTTGACCCAACTTGTTTAGGTCATGATCAACATGAATTTAGATCGAACTAGCTTGTAAGCTTATGTGTCAATCTGAATAATAATAATTTTTTAAATAAAAATAAAAGTAATATTATTTTATTAAAAATGCATATGTATTATAAATTAATTTGATAAGGTATTAACTTATTATAAGAGTACATATTAGAATAAGTCTCTAACAATAACTTATTTCAAGATCTAATAGTTATAATTAATTACTATTTTAGATTTACAAATTGCTAAAAAATGAATGATGTAATGAAAAATAAGTTTTTAAATCTTATTTAGAGATTGAATGAATCTTCACATATAATTTATATATTAAATCATTAAATAAAAACTAATTTTATTAATATAATTTAAATTTTAAAAATATATTTTTATTTTTTATCTTTTTTTTTTAATTCCAATTAGGAAAAAATTGGTGCTGTTAACTCATCGACCTAACATAAAGCTAAACTAGGCTAAAAATTATGGTCTACTTTACAATATAGGTCAGATTGGATTGGATCATCTGTTATGATAACCTTACTCATTAGCACCTTCATATAAAAATTCATCACATTTTGAATTGATGATTTGTCTCATACACAGTCGGCCTATGCATCCTTTTTAATTTATTCTAGATTGGTGGTCTATCTCATCCATGAGCGGCTTATACATCATGTTCAATTTATATTCTAAATTGATGATTTTTCTTATTTATGAACGACCTACACATCCTTTTTAATTTATCTCAGATTGATGGTTTGTCTTATCACAAACAACCTACACATTATTCTCAATTTATTTTAGATTAATGGTCTCTCTCATTCATGAGTGACTCTTACACCCTTTTCAATTTATATTTTAGATTGATAGTTTGTCTCATCCACGAACGATCTACATATCCTTTTCGATTTATTATGGAATAATGGTTCATCTCATCCACAAACAATTTACACATCATTCTCAATTCACCTTTATGGTCTATCTAATCCACGAACGACCTATACTCATTTTCAACTCACATTTATGATTGAAGGTATGTTCATCCTGTACATTATTGTTACCAAATATATATATATATATATATATATATATATATATATATATATATATATATATATATATATATAATTATATATATTTTTATATATTTATATATTTTAATTTTTATATATTTATCTATCTATATACATATTTACAAGGTTTTTTTTATATAAAATTGGGGTAGAAAAAAATGATATAAGGAAAATTAAGCAAATAATAATTTATTTAATAATAAATTTGGAATAAAAATTAGAAAATTAGAAAAATAAAAAATAACTAATAAGATGATATATTGAAAATTATTTAAAGTGAAGTTTACATTTATGGGTTGGTTTAATATAAAATTAAAATTAAGAAATATAATTTTATTGATTAATAAAAATTTATTTAAAAATAAGTAAGTAGTAGAAATTTAATAAATATGATGATTTTGAAGGGAAATTATCCGAATAAAACTTTAAAATTAAAATTAAAACTAAGAAATATTTGAAGTTTAAATTGAAATTAGTTAAAAAAATGAGAAAATTATGTATTTATATTTATTATATATATATATAATATATATATATATATATATATATATATATATATATAACTTGCTAAAATATTTTAAGTTGATGTAAATATTATTTTATCTTATTTTAGTTTATGTAAAGGCTTCTTTTAAAAAAATGATATTTTTAGTATTTATTATTGACTATAATTTGTTTAGTAAAAAAATAAATACTTAATTAAAATAAATAAATTATTTTTACACAATGCAATTAAGTAATATACTTAATATTTTTATAAATAATATAATCACATATAATTTTTTTAATATAAAACGTTATGATTATTTTATAAAATGATTATTATTATCTTAAAAGATTCATTTATATTAATTAAAAATATATTTAAACCATTACTAGTAATTTTTGGAACATACAGATAATAAAGTACATTGAATGGAATTGTATAGCCCCTTCCTATTTTGGTCGTACACACCACAAAAGTTCAGGTGCTACATCACTGTCCATCTACTTATTTTATTATCACATCACAATCATAAGTTGTATGAGATAAACTTATAAATCAATTTTAATTTGAGTTATATGAAACATTAAGTTATGTTTCCCATTTTATTCCCCTAAATTTTTTATTTCTTGGTCTAATTTGTAATTAACATCTTTTTAAGATATGACATATTGCTTAAGTGATAATCCCTAAAATTATTTTGTTTGAAAAAAAACCAGCATTTTTTTTATTAAGATTTACATACTTTATTTCTTTTAATATTTTGTTTTTATTACAAAACTTAAAGGAAAAAAAATCCTATACTAATGCATTTTCATCCTCTTTGTGTTTAATTAGAAGACAAGAAGAAATAAGGCATATAAACATAATTAAAGAGAAACTATATTATTTTCATTACATGGGTTAAATTTTTTTATTCTTTTAAGAAAAAATAAATATAAAGATCATCCTATTCATCCACAAACATCGACTCTTAATATACGATATAAAAAATAAACCCTAAATACTTTAAGAGAACCAAAATCAAAATGTAAAAATGATTGAAAAAAAAAGAGAATATTACTCAAATGTTTTAAGTGACACTTAACAAATGTAAGTAAATAAGATTAAAATAAAAGTAATTTTTTTATTGAGACCAATAACGATTTTTTTTATTGAGTATTATATACAAAGTTCACATATTTGTAATAAATTATTAAAAATACTTAAATTATAATACAAAATAATATATATATATATATATATATATATATATATATAAATCATACATTGTATATAAATAATTAAGGTTATAAGTTGATTGATGGTCACATTAATGCTTTAAGGAGTCTTATAAGTTTTGTTTTCTTTTTAAATTTTGACCATTCATATAATGATTGAAATTTATAATCTATTTATAAGGGGTAAATAGTTACATATAGTAAATAATTTTCTTACACAAACCGTGGTTACTTAATTAAGTTTTTGTCACTTAATAAATAATTATGTTATACTTGTTAGTATTTTAATAAATGCTTGTACAAGTTTTGAATTGACTCTGTTATTTGAAAACGGTTTTATTATTTTCTTTACTCATTAATTATTTATTATTTTCAATTGATTAAATTCATTATATTGATCGAAATATTATGACCACTTAAAAGCTATAGCTAATAATATTTGTTAGAAAACTTTATGCACTGTATCTAATCAAATCTCTTTCTTTATTTGAAAAAGTAGTATAATTTTAAGATTAATAATACCAACCGTTGATTTGTTAAGATGCATCAACGGCTACACTGAATGCACCACCAACAGAGAAATCATATTGTATGAAATAAATGAGAGTCATATAATATTTATTAATAAAAGTAGATTAATGGAATTTGGGAGTGATTTATTTGATGAGAAAATGGGTGAAAGGAAAGAGAAGTAACGAGTAAGGGAGAAGGTAATGAAAGATTAGTAGTTGTTGGGTTGGAAAATTATAAAGAGTGTTGGTTAAGAGTGCATTTTATTGGGAAGGAAGAGAAAGAAAAGGAAGTGGCAACGAACATTAATGTAGGACACATGCACATCACGAAAGACCATTGTCCTTCATTCTAATCTGTTTCTTCGTCTGTCTCGATTGGAAAGGAAAATAAAAAAGGCCTTCTTCTAAGTTCCAAATCATCAACCACTGAGAGAGAGACACCCCCTCCGACATTTTCTCTACTCTTCAAGCAAACTCTTCGTCTCAGATCTCTTTCTATCTCTCTAGGGTTTCCGTTTCTCACTCTGCTATTTATGATCACTCTCTGACGCGCTTCTCTCACCAAATCAGGTGCTTCCGTCTCTTCTCCTTCGTCTCTCGTACGCTTCCTTCATTTCGAATCTTCGATTACAATGCGCCTGCACCGTCGCTGATTCAGATCTTTTTTGCAGATTGGAAGGATTCCTGTGGTTGGAGATGGTGGTTTCGGGGCCAATCACGCCGGGGCAGGTGCTTTTCTCTCTGGATATTACTGTCGTTATTTGATTCGGTTGGTGGAATTTTCGAAAGTGCTACTGCTGAATGGGTTTCACTTTTGTGTTGTAGTGTTTAGTTGCGATTTTTGTGATCTGCTTGCGTGTTGTGTTATTTGCAATTTGTATCTTATCGTCAACAAGTAGTGGGTTGTTGTTGTTCAATTTGATGGAGTGAAAAGTCGAGGGAATTCGTTTTTTAAGTTGGAATGAGCGCAATTGTGAGAGTTTAGTTGCTCAATCTGTTGTTTTGAATGGGAAGATAAGCCTACCCATGCTTTTGGGAAAACCGTGTTTATGGCTCTAGCTTGACGGACAGTTTGTTTTTGTTTAAGTGTGTTACGGGCAAGCCAACTTATGTGTTGTTCACTCAATTTTGAGAATGTTGACGTAGGGTTTAAGAAAATATTAATATAGTTTCTGTTTGTTGAAGTATAAGTTTGTGATTAGTGACAAAATTTGGTTAGATTGTACTGGGACGTGCCTCTATTCCTGCTTTTTTATTATTGTTCCGAGTTAAAATATACACGCTAATTTTTGGGTTGTCGCTTTTCTGATGGAGCTGGGCTTTATGTCCTCAGGTGTCTTTCTTGCTGGGGGTTATTCCAGTTTTTGTTTCATGGTTATATTCAGAGTACTTGGAGTACAAGAAAACCTCATCTCCTCCCAAAGTGTAAGTTTCTTTCGCTGTCACACTAAAGCAAATTATATTGACTTTCGCTGTTTGGGGTGCTAAAGTTCATTGGTGGAATATATATATATATATATATTAGTTTGCTCTCTTCTATTTGACCATTTCTTCCAGTAACTGGGTGGATGTTGTTGTTGTGGAGGGAGTTCACGATGAAGAAGATAAAAGTACATAACTATGATCTTATACATAATGATGTAATCTGCATTGGTAAAAAGAAAATCTTTAAAATAGGTTTATGCAAGGTTTCGGGACCGATAGTGGTCCAGATGTCAACAAAAAGCATTTAATCATCAAATTTACAACCCCTCTTTACATGCGTATCAGAAATTACTCTGGGATCTTTATTGTAAACATGTGATTATACAAAAAATCAGTGAAAATATACTTTATATTTATATATTTAATAAATAAATAGATGCTCTAAAGCTTTGAACTGTTTAGACTTTGGATCCAACATAAAGATTGTGGTACATACAAGAAAACTTAATGTCTCAAGTGGATATTGGTTCAACTATTTGTCTCATTCAAACCAAACTGCTATTGAGATTTTGATATTGGAAACTTGTATTTTGAACATTAACCATCTGATTTGATCTATTCCAAGTTTTTGTTTGAACAACTAAACTAGATATATAAATTTTTTTGTTGGTCGAAGATGTTCTTCTTTTAATCATGCTACTTCAAAAACTGAATTTCCTACTCTAATGTTTTTTGCATATGGAAAGTATAGTTATTTATCTGCAAATATTTTCTAACTCAATAAATTTTCTTTGTGGAATGCAGTCATTCAGATACTCATCTTGAAGAGTTGGGGAAGGATGCAATTAAGGAAGATGATCGAGCCATTTTACTGGAATCAGGGCTTACTAGATCAGCATCAACAAAATTCCATCCATCATCTGTCAAATTGAATTTGATTCGGTCATTTTCTATGATAAGCAATTTCGAGGGGTTCTGTTTGTTTTCTACGTTTTATCTCTAACATCCTTATCATTTTCCTTGTCATGTGTAGGTTTTTGACAATGGATGATTCTTTCTTGTTAGAAAATCGGGCAACTTTGAGGGCAATGTATGTCATGTTAATGTGAATGACCAAATAATAATCTGCTCCACACTTTCTGAATTCTGATGTATTTACAACGTTTTTTAGGGCTGAATTTGGGCTGATACTGTTTTATTTCTACATATGTGATCGGACCAACATACTTGGAGATTCCACCAAGGTACTTGCATACCACGTATCATGTTTCAACTTGTTTTTGTGTGAGCTACAACTTGAACTTTTGTTTTGAAGTGATCTGCATAAAGGAATCTTTTCTTTATACTTATTTTCTTTTTAGTTTTTTTTGTTATTAATGTTTCTATTTTAACTTTTTAATATTTATAAGTAAATTATATACCTTTTGAGATATGCCTCTATGAATGCTTGCAAACTAACTACACAAATAATTGAAAAGAATGCTTTCTTGTAAAATGTTTCACCTTCACTGTAATTTTCTCTTTGGTAGTTTTTACAGTAATCATATTTCACAGTTTATGATTTCTTAGCTCAATGCACTTTTATGTGGCAATTTTTCTTGCCTTATCTTTGCTTTTCACCAGGTTTGGTGTGACTTATTCCATGATAGAGGCTTGTGTTGGGAAGACATATCTTGTAACATGTTTTACGTGTAGTGTTTTAGACTTCATAGCCAATGAACTTTTATGCAAAATTTTGTTCAATCATTGCAATCTGCCTTGGTTAGATATATATTATACACTGGCTTGATTTGGGAATGCTTATTTCTACTTTATCTGAGGATGTGCTTAAATATACTGTAGTGGTCTATATATTTAAATCATTATACATTTATATGATTTCAAACTATTGCCATTTGTAATAATATTTTTTACTTGCTTGACAAATTTTTTTTGTTTGACAGAACTATAGTCGGGATCTTTTCATCTTCCTCTACCTTCTTCTGATTATAGTTTCAGTTTTGAGTTCTTTGAAGAAGCATAATGACACATCATCTTTTTCTGGAAAAAACATACTCTACCTTAATCGGCACCAAACAGAGGAGTGGAAAGGATGGATGCAGGTGAGCTCACCTTTTTATATTGTAAACAAACATGCTATATTTTCTGCTTACCTCTAAAAAATATTGTTTAAAGTATTTGCTTGACCCTTTCTTTTTTTGATATTTTTATTCTGTAACGCACTTTGTTATAATAAATACCCTCTGCAATTGCTTACTTTTGTGAATAAATGTTACAACAAATTTCTTATCCTAGTAGGTGAGATTGACTACATGAATTTATAATCGTTTTGGCATAAAACCAAACTGACTTTCCACAATCCTGGTATCTCCTATTAAAATATGCTTAATCACCTTTTCCAATTATTTCATAGTGTGACTTCCAAACCAATGCCAAGAAGCAACTGTGAAAATTTGAGCTATTTGATGATGTTTGATTGTGATGGAAATTAAGGCTTATTGAAATGAAATTGAAGTTGGTGCACCTCTATATAGTACTATTCTTGTATATTGCTTTCAAAAATGCCATAATTCATTAGAAACTACTTTTTCAGTTTTAATTTTGTCAGTCACTTCTAAGTAATGATTCATCTGTTCAACGTCTTGTTCCATTTGTTCAGGTGCTCTTTTTAATGTATCATTATTTTGCTGCAACGGAGATATACAATGCAATACGCGTTTTCATTGCTGCATATGTTTGGATGACTGGATTTGGCAACTTCTCCTATTATTATGTCAGAAAAGATTTTAGCCTTGCACGTTTTGCTCAGGTAATAGTCCTTGACCTTAAATATCAATTTTGTTATACTTGGTGTCCACTGCTATACTTTTCCTGTTACTCTTTGCATAAACAATATATCTAACTCATTCAAATTCCATGCAGATGATGTGGCGGCTTAATTTTTTTGTGGCCTTCTGCTGTATTGTGCTTAACAATGACTATATGCTCTACTATATATGTCCAATGCACACGCTTTTCACTTTGATGGTGTATGGAGCACTGGGTATATACAACAAGTATAATGAAGTTCCCTCCGTGATAGCTGCAAAGATTCTGGCATGCTTTCTTGTGGTGATCTTGATTTGGGAAATCCCTGGATTCTTTGACATATTTTGGAGCCCGTTTGCTTTCTTTCTGGGTGAGTAATATGTGTAACTTGATTTCACTGTTAGTAATTAAACTTTTGGTTATGCTCCTTTTGCTGTGACTTTTCTTTATCAAGCACTTACATTTCTGAGCTTGCCATAAGAAGCAATGAGACCGACTCACAGTCTCAAACCAGTTCATTTTCACTGTTGGCCCCAAAAATTTGTGGGCCGTGAATTGGATGGTTATATTGTCCTTAAAATTGTGGAAGCTTGCCTCTTGTTAACTGTAATTACAGTCAATGTGACAAACCAATTCTTATATTTTTGGACCCAACTCATCCTTACGAAATTGGCTTGTAAAGTGAGGGGTGCCTAAACTGTGTTAGTTCTTATTAGGTACTATTTGTAGTCAATGTGGGACTTGTGTTTTTCCAAATAATAATGTTATTGTCCAAATGACAGCAATTTATATTTATGTTGAAGATACTCTATTTTATCAATATAATCTATTGATATGCTCATTCTTTCTCTCCCTAGGTGGATGCTTATGTATGTAGTCTGTTTACAATTTTCTAGTCGATTTGCTAATATAAGCTTACATGCTGTTTACTCCAAATTCATAAATTAAATTGTAACTTTTATGTGGCAGGTTATACCGATCCTGCAAAGCCAGATCTCCCTCGAATGCATGAGTGGCATTTTAGATCTGGGCTTGATCGCTACATCTGGATAATTGGAATGATTTATGCCTACTTTCACCCAAATGTAATCTTGAATACTAGCTTGTGTGGTGGTTTATGATAATATTTGGTCCAGCTTTTGAAATTTGAAATATTTCACCATCTCAGGTTGAGAAATGGATGGAAAAATTGGAAGAGAGTGAAACCAAGAGGAGAGTTACCATCAAAACTTGCATTGTTTCTGCTGCACTATTTGTGAGTTACATGTCCTACAATGAGATTAATTGATAATATTATTTGTGGTTTCCTATTCTCCTTTTCTGTTACTACTTATTCTTTGATGTAGACCAAGAATGGTAAACAAGAACATCTCTTTTTAATATATCTTTTCTAGGTTGGGTACTTGTGGTATGAATACATATACAAGCTGGACAAGGTCTCATACAACAAACTGCACCCTTACACCTCATGGATTCCAATTACGTGAGTGTTATCTTTTTATTTCATTCCTTTTGCTGTTCTTCATGTTTTCTTTTATGCTTGTAAGATAGGAATCCTAGAGAAAATAGTGGGATGTGATTATATTTTTTCTTTCAGCTCTTTCTATTGATCCTTTTACTTATTATTATTATTTTTATTTTTTTTCAGTGTATACATTTGCCTGAGGAATTTCAGTCAGCGGCTCCGTAATTTCTCTTTGACCCTCTTTGCGTATGTGTTCTTTACCTTAATTATTGAAAGTCCATGTTGATTGGTTTCAGCACATGCTTTTTAGTTGGTGTTTGCTATCGATTTTTGTTTCTTAATTTCTCTCGTTTTTGTATCAGGTGGCTTGGCAAGGTTACTTTGGAGACATACATTTCCCAGTTTCATATTTGGTTAAGGTTTGTATGCTTACTGAACAATTCTAATAGTTATTATGGTCTGAGGGATATGTGCTAAAGTCCTTTTATGTGTGTTCAAATGAATGATGAATCAAATAACATTTATGTGCTTCATGTTTTCGTCAATGAAGATCCTTGAATTGGAAATATTATTTTATGTTTAGCAATGACCCATCTCAATAACAATAGTGCTTAGATAATTTCATTAGATTCGTACATTATGTCTTAGTTTCAGTATTGTTATTTTTTATTGCTAACTTTTGTTGCATGTTTGTATCTTTGTATATTATAGAACACATAAGAGAATATTATAATGGAAGGAAACTTGTGAACGAGCTTCACCTCAGTAAGAATGCCCTTGATAATTTCCTCTTGCATGCAGGTCTAACATGCCAAATGGACAGCCCAAGTGGCTCCTTTCTCTTATACCAGAGTATCCTATGCTCAATTTCATGCTTACAACTGCTATATACGTTTTTGTAAGGATCTTTCTTCTTTCCTTCTTTTATTTGTTTATTTTTCTTGTTTGTATTCAAGTCTAATGGAAGACATCATACCAATTACTAAGTTGCACTGCTATCTTGACATGGTTTGCAGGTATCTCATCGACTTTTTGAATTAACAAATACACTTAAGTCGGTGTTCGTACCTACGAAAGACAATCGACGGCTGCTACATAATTTTATTACTGGAATTGTCATTTCCCTTTCTCTGTATTGCATCTCACTTATTCTGCTTCTGATTCCTCATTCAATGGTAAGCCTCTATTTTGCTATGTAAAGGGATATTTCTCTGATACTTTATTGCGAATCTTGGAAAAGGATATTACATTATAATCTCTCGGTGGTCAGGTCCTTGGTCATGTTGCTTAAAGCTTAAAAAATGAATATCAAGTGAAGTTTGCTAATGTTTTGTTTAAAACAGAAGTGGGGCAGGGTGGATCAAAGATGCTTTCGCATTATATATATATATATATATATATATATATATATATATATATATATATATAATAATAATAATAATAATAATAATAATAATAATAGGATATTTCTTTGATGCTTACAGGTTTGAAATTCAAGACACCAAAGAGAGATTCCACAGACAGTTTTCCCTTTGGATTGGCTGTGCTGAAAGGAAACTAGGAAATGTGGATTAAAAATAAGGGTACTTGGAAATGTGGGATCTCTTTTCTGGAGCAATGTTTCTATAGTTGTGGGAAGTAGTATCCTCAAAGAAGACATCAAATATATAAACGTTGGGTGTTGTTTTGCATCGGAGGGTGGCAGATGAAAGGGGGGACTAACCCAGAAGGAATTTGAACCAATTTTCTATAAATTCTTTGTGCTCACACATAAAAGGAGAAAAAGGTAGGACCGTGATACAAATCCTCTTGGCTTCGAAGAAATTCAAGATTCATTTCATACCTATTCCTGTTCATTTTTCATTGTCATTTTTTGACTTGTTCGTCTTTGAAGGATAAGGAAATATATGTATATTCTTTTTTACAATCTTACCAGAAACGCGTTGTCCTACCCTTGTAACAATAGTTTTGTTTAATGGCTATAAGTGCAAGTATAGTGGTTTTACTATTTCTTTTGGGGGTCATGGGGGGGCTAGGGGTTGTGGGAATATTTTGAATAAGCTACCGATTTATAGTTCTCAAGTATTATTGATTATCCTAAATAGTCTTTGAAGTAATAAATCTACACAAGTATCTCTCAACTGTTAAATATCACCAGTATAGTCTCTCAGTTTATTTATTTTATAAACATTCAGATATAAAGTTGAAGGGATTTTTAATATTTGAGACATTAATTAGCATGATTCTTAATACTTAGAAGATTTCATATATATTAGGACAACTTAGGAAAAATAGTTATAGTGCAGAAGAATTTTAGGTGTGTAGAGCTCTGAACTTTTGCCGAGGAATCTTGAATGGCCTGATGGGTCTTACTAACTAGTTGGGAGAATGCTTGGCACTAGTAGTAGACAATAGAAACGAAGCCCTTCCAAAAGCAGAAAGTAAAGAACGTGCACTCAACTGTGAATTTCGAAAGTTATTTATTAGTGTGTTTGCTTATTAAGTTATTTCACTTTGAATGTTGATTGTTTAAAGTAATTGCAGTTTGAATTTAAATTATGAAGTTGTGTTTCACTTGTCTGATACCAAATTAAACATTCACTTTATTGTAATGTCAATTATTTTTCAGGTTCTATTATGGATAAGAGTGGGAACGGATCAGATTTTTACGGGCTTTTAAGTCTTACATGTATAATTACTGCTTAACCTCACTTAATTATAGAGCTTTTTGAAGTTTTAGTTGTACCTATTTCATTCAAAAGTCAGGTAAGGCATGCAACCTATCTAGGTGCCCTATTTTATATAAACACATAAACAAACTAATAAATCTAACCACGCCAATCACTCTTATTCGCCATATAAATTATTCTTTGTTTCTTAATACTAATATTACAGAAAATAAGAAACTTTTCACAAGTTTATTATAGGTCATTATTTTTTTTACAACATTAAACAAATTTTAAAAACGAAATAATTAAACATTAAGTAATGTAGAAAGAAAATAAAAATAAATTTTTTAATTAGAATCATTAGTCACGTAGGTTTTCTCAGATTCAGTTTTATTTTTTATTTTTAAAAAACAGTTTTAGAGCTCATTTTTTAAAAGAAATGCTTTTAAAAATAAATTGAAATTTATAACTTTAATTTTAATAATTATTTAAACAAAATAATTATCAAACAAGTTTTTTAGAAATTAAAAAATAAAAAATTATTTTTTTAAACAATTACCAACTAACTCCTTATAATTTTTTTATTGAACCATCTTATTAATAGTTATTGGATCAAATCAATTTACCAAAAATAACAATTTAAAAATATTTTAATTATTTAATAAAGAAATGTAACAAGTAAATTAATTAATTAAATTTAAAATGAACTTAAACTTATTAGATATAATATTGAATTTGTGTTTATTAAATTTAAAATATAATTTAAACTTAAGTAAAAGTAGTAAATGGTGTATTGAATAAAATTTCTAATTAAACAATATTTTTAAACTTTGAAAATCCATTATATATATATATATATATATATATATATATATATATATATATATATATATATATATATAACTTCATTTTAATTCTTGTGTTGTTATTATTTATTTTCTTGGGTAATCTAACTATTATACTTAGGGTAAAATATGTGTTGTAACGTCCTAGCCAGCTTATGCAGAATTGTCAACTATCGAGATTTTTCAATGTGCTTTGTTCTCACTCACACACCTTCTGAGAACTTCTTAGAAGATCATCCATACCACAATTTCTCTAAGTCAAACACGCTTAACTATGAAGTTCTTATATGATAGGCCACCGAAAATCTAAATTTTCTTTAATACAAAAAGCTTTTAAAAAATGTTTAAATTTAACTTGTTTTTAATAAACAAGTTAAAATAGATAGCCAAACATACGATCAACTCCACTCACTAACCTATTTCTAACCCTGAATATGGAGTAAATATCATAATACAAACAAAAATATATAAGAAAAAAAAATGATTACTCCAAAATTCAGAATCCACGATGTTATGCAGAATCTTAAATAGTAGCCACACATAATAATAGTACGCAAAAACTGTTATTCTTCGTTCCTCAGCACATGTAGTTTCCTACTAATATTTTGGTAACAACATCAACTAATAAAATGTTGTAAAAAAATAAATTAAAAAAAAAACTAAATAGAGACTATTTTATTATTTCGTTAATTTTAGAAACTAATTTTATTGATTTTTATCATTTTGAGACCAAGTATGTTACTTGCTTGAGCTTACTTGGAATAATCATGTTTTGTAATGTATGTAGGTTTAATGTGATAGATGTTTATGATTACCAAGCAACACACTTTCAATCATCACAACTTAACCTCTCATGGGTGCCTAAAGATTGGATCTATCTATTCTAGTATTTACTTCATATTAAGTAGAAAAGAAGTAAATAAAATTTCTTAAACTTTTAATTTTCAAATTATGAGCAAGTTCTTTTTTTTTAAAAAAAAAAAAGTCATTAAAAAACTTGTTCAAAAGTCAGAAAAAAAAGGAACTTTTGAAAAATATATACCAATGACGCCGTCTGTGGGGATCGAACCCACGACCACGTGGTTAAAAGCCACGCGCTCTACCACTGAGCTAAGACGGCTTTGATGTTACTTAATTAGTTTTATATTATATATTTTTAATTAATCTTTTAAATTCACAATTTATTTATTTTATTCAATTTGACCCTTATATTAATAAAAATTCAATATATTCTTTCAATTTTAGAAATATTATAATTTCACTTTTTCACGGTTCAATAAAATATGACAATGTGACTCTTTTATATGTTTTATAAGTTGTAAACAATTGTTCCACGAATTAGAACCATTAATATTTAGTTGATAACGATTATATATGACGAATATTATTTTGCTTTTAATAATCGAGAGACTTTAAAAGTAGTTGTATTGTTATAGTTTTAAAACATTTTATTAATAGTTATATGTATAGATAAATATTTACAATAACAATATTTTTGTGAATGAGAGTGGAATTATCAGGCATGTTTAAGATGTAAGACTCGTAAATATCTGTGAATTACTAGTAAGGATTCTTGTAAAATTTAGTCCTCTGCAGAAAATACAATATCCCCTAAATTTCTGCATTTTATAAGATAGAATGGCCAGGGCTTTATTGATCTACCTTTCAACAGATATCCATCCAAATAACAGAAGCTTTGATGGACTCATTCATGCCTTCACTGTCTTTGCAAACCAAATGCTAGACGACAGAGGGGACATACCCATGCTCTTGCAGAGCAGCTGTCAACGAGTTTAAGCCGGCATAAATAGAGTGAGTTTGAGGATGAGTCCTATCACCAGTTATAAAAACATGAACACCATTCACAAGTTCAATCCAGCTACAACCCGGTCTCTTCTTCACATTTTGTTCCTTCATTGTATGCCTCACAGCTGACACTTCCTCATATCGACCAAAGACTCCATAAACATTTGACATCAACACATAGTTTCCACAATGGCCTGGCTCAAGTTCAATCACCTTATTAGCAGCAATCTCAGCCAAGTCCGTGTCCTTGTGGAGACGGCACGCTGCTAGAAGGGACCTCCATCCTACAGGATCGGCCTTAAATGGCATTGTTAGCACTACTTCGTAAGCCTCCATGAGCTTCCCTGCCCTACAAAGCATGTCAATCACACAAGTGTAATGTTCAATGGATGGAGAAACACCATATTTTGACTCCATTTCTGATAGAAACCCAAGCCCCTCCTTCACCATGCCAGCATGGCTGCATGCAGATAGCAATCCAACAAAACTGATTTCATTAGGTACAATTTGAGCTTGACACATACGGGAAAAAATATCTAATGCCTCATCACCATAACCATGCATTCCGTAACCTGTGATCATGATGTTCCACGAGGCCACGTCCTTCTCCCTCATATTGTCAAAAACCATCCGTGCATCTCTCATGTTTCCACATTTTGCATACATATCCATCAGAGCATTGTTCAACAAAACATAATCAAAATCACTGTGACCTTCTTCCTTCCCCAACCCATTTGCAACCATATACCCATGTATCTCTCTACCATGAATCAACGCCGCAAGATGAGTACAAGCCGGAAGTACTGCTGTAACAGTAACCAAATCAGGCTGAACCCCTTTTAACAGCATTTTGTCAAAAAGCCTCAAAGTTCCATAATGATCACCGCAGAGTTCATGAACTGATATGATCGAATTCCATGAAAAAATATCTCTCTCGACCATCACCTCAAACACACTCAACGCATCACTAACACATTTACATTTTCCATACATACCAATCAATGCATTAGAAACAACAACACTTGATTCATAACCCATTTTCGTCACAAACCCATGAACAGAACGTCCACAGTCGAAATTCCCCATCACAGAAAATATGGACAAGACCCCAGTAACAGTGTATGTACAAGGAACCACCCCATTTCCCCCCATCCTCCTAAATACCACCAAAGCTTCCTCAAACCTCCCAATCTGCGCGTACCCATTGACCATTGCGTTCCAAAGCACCACATCTCTCACAGGCAATTCCTCAAACACCTCATACGCATCCCCCACCAACCCAAATTTCAAGTACGTAATAACCAACGCACTGCCAACAAACACATCCAACTCCAACCCAAGTTTGAACAACAACCCATGAATCTTCTTAACCTCCAAATCCTCCATAACATCGCCACAGGCTCTGATGACACAAGGAAAAGTAAACTTGTCAGGAACGATACCCAGATACCTCATTTGCTTATATAGAGCAAACCCACGTTGGGGAAGGGCGTTTGCAACGAAGCCAGCGATGAGAGCGTTGTAGGCAAAGACGTTTTTGTCAAGATGGGTAGGGTAGTTGAAGACTCTGAGGGAGTGGTCGATGAGGGTGCACTTGGAATACATGTTGATGAGGCTTGTGATGGCGAGTGGGGATCCAAAGAAGGCATTTTTGAGCAAGTGGGAGTGAAGTTCCTTGCCCTTGGAGAGGTTTCCATTGTGGGCACATGATTGGAGGGTTGCAATGCATGTTGGTACGTGGTAAGAGGGTGAGGTTGAGAAACAGAGCAACCTGCGACAATGTTGTTGTTCTTGTTGGGCGATGATGAGGACTCTTATGATTCTTCTTCCATTCATCTAAGTTGCACTAATTCCCCTCTTTGCAACATCAAACTTCCATCATTTTGTTGCATAAGTTGCTCTTTTATCATCACCTATGATATATGTTATTGAATTTGGTACAAAATCATAACCATGCAAAATTGGGCAATCATTATTTTTGTTTGCTAAGAACGTTGATTAATTTTCAATTTAAAATGGCGTAGATGAAATTGTGTTTATTCTTAAGATTTGTTAAAATGATGGATGAAAAAATTAGTTTGACCTTACACCTAGAGCATTTTTAACTCATCGGTTTCATGTCTTAGAACAATTCTTTTATTAATAAATCACTATATTATTATTAATGCAATGTCTAATTAGCTTCACATCTTAAAGATCTTTAACTAAGTAATGGATCTTCAGCATTTTTACGTGCCTTGACCAATTTTATATATATGTAAAAATAAACATCACAACTATATTATTCAAAATGAGGAATGTAAAAAGAAATATCATCAATATAAATTACTCAAAAATAAATTATTACTAAAAATTAAGTTAATAAAAATAACACTCAATGTAACTACTTGAAAATAATTTTTAACGTAAAATAGTCATAGGAAAAAGTTATCATTAATACTACTTCAAAAATATTTGTAATGAGTTAATATAATATTAATAAAAGTAACTTTCTTAAAATATAATTGTTATTATTATATTATTTATTCTAAAAATAAGTAATTTTAAAATCTAAATATAGCGTGTTTTCCGTTCTCATTCATTTTACTCTTATAATTTATATCATAATATTATTTTGTTATTGATTTGAGTCGTAGAAAATACTAAAAATAGGTGTATATCTTAATTTTTTATTCTAATTATAAAGCTTTTTCCTGATTGTTATTTATATTTCGATTCATAGATATCGAAATTTGTATCTTATTTGCATTAAAACGAAGTGACCTACAATTCTTTATTATATTTTTCATTTTTCTTATTTTTATATTTTCCATTTTTTCTATATGTATTTTTTCCCATCTTATTATTTTTTTAATCACGTATTTTATTTTAATTGGATATTTGCATCCATCAAAGTTAGATTTGAAAGAAGTGAAATGGATTGTTTTAGGAAAATAATATACAAGTAAATTTAATCAATAAAATATTTAATTAATACAATTTTTCTCTTTTTCAATTAATGCTTTTTTTAAACTTTATCCAATTTTATTTCTCTGTGAAATGGCACATATGCCCCCTTCAGTGCCGACACTGCCATCGCCGCAGAAGTTATAAACAAAAGGTTTGCATGCAATTTAGCCACAAAAATATTACACTTTTTTTTTTTGATGTACGTAGAAAAAGAAGTATATATATACTTGATAAATGTTTCATATTATTATTATTTAATTATAAATATTTATTTTATTATCTTTATTGATTTGATATAAATTGTTTAAAGTAATAAATCTTAAAAATCAATTAAAATATATTCATTAAGATTAAAGGGTTTACGTATTAATATAGACTAAAGGATTTACGTCTTTCTATTTTTTATAATTAATTTTTTAAAATATTATTTTAAATTTATTTTATTTTTTCTTTTAATTATTTAAATATATCCTTTTTTTTTCAATAAAGCTATTTTTAGTTAGAACACTGCCAGTAGAAAAGTTTACTCTAGCAGTCTATATCTCTACGTGATTTTTTTTCTTTTTTGTTTTGAAGAAAAAATAGTAATAAATTAATTTGTACTGATATATATTTTTAAATTTATTTTTATACTATGTTATTAATATTTTTAATTATTTTAATAACATATTAAAGTAAACAAAAAGGTTCTGAATATGTAAAACGTTTATTTTCATATTAATTATTCACATGATTAATTATTTTATTTTTAAAAAGCTGAACTAATTATTAATAAATTAAAAAAAATATAATTCTTCATAAATAATTTTATTTTAAATTTAAATACACAGTATGTGTTGCGTTTAATTTTGTAAGTTTCCTAATTTTTTTTAAGAAATATATAAAAATAATCCCTGCAATATATATATATATATATATATATATATATATATATATATATATATATATTTTTTAATTTTTACACTTAATTTTTAATTGTTTGAGACACAATATTCTAACCCATCCAAGACATTATATTAACACTTCTTATTACCTTAAAAATACGTTACACTGGATATCTGTAATATTTTAATTTTTAAGAAAATAAAAGATCTCATAAAAATAGTGTGGTAATTTAGTTAAATACGATGGATTAGTTTGTCCCATTAAACAAATTAACTATATATTTTTTTCAAAATTGACTTAATTATATTTTACAAATTGATTAATTAATCATTAAATATATGAATATGTTCATTCTATTATAAAAGTAAAAATTTATTATTAAATATAAAAATGACTAAAATCATAATAAATCTTATAAAGAAATCAAATCTAAATATTAAATTTAGATATAAATAATAAATATAATCATATATTTTAAAAATTAGAGTATTAAATTAATTAATTTAAAAATATAAAAATTAAATACAAGTTAAAAAAAATTGTTGTTCAAGAATATATTTATTTTCAAATATGTTATTATTAATATTTTTACTTGTGTGGATTGATTTTTTTTATTTTATTTTAAATTTAGTCTTGTTTAAATGCATATTTATATAGATTACTTTTATTGAAACATAAGAAAATTCATATTCAAATTTTAGCTAAGATATCTCTACTTCAGATTATTGAACTAATTTAGGTTAGTGTTAAGAAATGGGAGACTTTATTTATTTATTTATTTATTTATTTTATTAACTATCTAAATAACAATTGCTCCTTATAAGCATTAAGTTTATAATTTATTTATAAAATAACAACTTATAAATATACTTTCGTATACGTTTAACTGAATATATATACACAACTTTTATAAGAATATATAGTAGAAAATAGCGTAAATTATATTTTTTTAATTATTGTTTTTCTTATAAAAAGTATCTCCAGTATAATGACTATTAATCTGTATTATTTAATCTTTCATTAATCTTATTAATACTTTTACCTATAACATGATAAGAAAATTACATCATATACACGACTGAATTAAAGCACTTAAAAAACATAAAATAAATCAACATGAATGGAACAGAAAGAGAGAAAAAAATCATGTTAATGTAAAAGTTAAAAGGTTTAAATCTGTTATTAGTTTAAAAGAAAAAATAAATCGGAGAACATAATCCATTATAAATAATTGAATTGATTTTTTAATAAAATAATTAATTATTCGAATAAAACCAAATGGTTTGATTTGAATTATTGAATTTATAATTCAATCCGGTCCAGAACAATCAATTCGTAGCAATAATTCATGGAAATAAAAATTAAAAAAACATTAAAATCTATATTAATTCATAGCTACATACTAACCAATATATTAATTAATGCCTAGATACCTACTCAATAATAATAAGTGTAAACATCAAGCAACATATTCTCCAAACATATTATTCATCATTCTCCATTCCTTACGTTACAAAGCTAGTATTTTAGCCTATCAATAAGATATAATAAATTATTTTAGTTATAATAATAAATAAATTATATTATGATACTTATTAATTTAGTTATTCATTATTTCTTCAACTATAGAATTTGTGGGAGAGGGATATACCAAGAACAGTTTCATCGTCCATTTTGAGAATAGAAATTTAGAATTGATATATCACGTGATGTACAGTGGGGATCTTCTTTGGAGTTGATGAGTGTGACTCCCAAAATTTTATAACTCTCATGTAATTTATGATTTTTGCCTCTAAACATAATGAACATTTAATATATTTATTTGTATACTTATAATGTTATCTTCTCGATCCCTCCTAAGTTTTATAATTTTCATATAATTTATGATTTTGTTTCCCTCAAACTTAATAATCATTTAATATATTTAAATATATATCTACAATTTTATCTTTTTACTCTTTTATCTTCTTTTTTGCTTTTATATTTATTTATTAATAATATATTATTTAACTCTTTTTTTTATATTTATTTATTATTTATTAATAATATATTAGTTGATTTTTTTATATTTATTTATTAATAATATATTATTTAGCTCCAAAGATGAACGAGGAATATCCGGCGGTGATGCATGTATAATATTTGATTCTTTGATTAGATTAAGTTATAAATTGATATTGGCTAGGTATGATCTTCATCATCATTACCTTGTTAAAGGAAAGGAACCCTATTTTATATATAAATTTAAATGTTATAGCCATGGAATAGACATGGAGAAGGAGAAAAAAGGATTGCGTGTGTGAAATTATGGGGAGTGGTTGGTGCTTCAATATCTATATATAATTAATTAGACGTATAGACTTCAAAAAGATAACAAAAATTCACTGTCTGTGCTACTTTTTTGCACAACTTCTTATTCAAACAAATATAAGTATTAAAATGTGTATTTGCATACCAAGTATACTATTAAAAAAATCATAAACTTTAAATGTTTTTATGCATATTGAAATATAATTAAGGTATGTAAATTTTGATTTTACTCTTTGATGTAGGGAATTCATTTTAAAAAAATAAAAGTGTATTTGTAATCGTTGACTGGAAAATTAACCGTTTTAAAAATTAATAAAATAAAATATTTTTAATGAAATCTATAAAATGATTATTACAACAATCATTAATTTTATTAATTTATGATTCTAATTACATTTTTAAGTGAATTATCTTCAACTAAATTCTATAAATTTAACATTATATGTGAACTTTTTTTAAAGTACATATGATGATAAATTTATAAAAGAAACCATGAGATTTAACACTTTTTGTTGATATTTGTTATTCAACAATTTTTTTGATTTTTGGAAATATTAATACGTATAATTAATTACTGATACTTGTAAATTAAAGAATATAAATATGAAGTTGATTTATATTTTTGTTTTTACCTTTTTACCCTGAATTTTACTTGATTATACTAATATATAAAAAAAATAGTAATTTCAATAATTGATTTTTGTGTACATTTTTTTAAAAAGTTTATTCTTAGTATTTTGGTATTTATTTAATATGATAACTATCTTTTTATTATCTCACAAAAGGAAAATATACATATTTATTTAATACATAAAATTCGGTGAATGATTGTATGTCTTGTAAGGACCATTAGAGTTTTCGAAACAAGAAGAGAATCCATGCAAACTTTATAATTTGAAAAAAAGAAAATATAAATAGACAACTCTTTTCTTGTATTTAAGTACTTTACAATTTATCTTAATAATAATAATTTTTAAAATTTTTATGTTTATAATTATAGTATTATTAAAATGAGTTATAGATAGTTATAGGTAAAGAAACTTATATATATCATTATTTTTTGGAAAACAAATCGTTACATGATGATAAAATAAGTAGTTAAATAAAAAGAAAAAACAAAAATGACCTCTATTATGTATCTCTATAGTTGTGTTATTGCTAAATTTGCACCACAACAAAGTAATCTAACATGATTGTGAGAAAAGAAGAAGAAGCAAGTATGTATATCATTAATATTATACATGAAAGCTATGATATAAAGAATGGAATATATATATAACAAAAATGGGAGATTAGTTTCTTAAAGTTTACAATTTTATAAGTAGGCAAAATTTATTGTACTATCAAATTTTCCATCACTATTCCCCCATTATTCTCCACTTTTGTGCTAACCAATGCAATGTCGTTTGGGAAAAGACAAGAAAAAGAAAAGGAAAATTGGTTGTTTTTGTTTAGGTCAAAAAGGAAAAAATTTGTTCAGCTGCAACGCAAGAGAAAAAAAGATGATCATGTACACACGTACGCCCCTCTTAAGAGACCAAATTTGTTAGACTCATGAAAAGATGTTCCAAGACTTGGAAATGCATGCTCAATATAAAGGGGTCAATATATATATTTAATGATTCATTATCTTTGAAATTATAATAACCACATTTAACATTTTCATTATAAAATTATATATCTATATATATTAGAATGTTTTTATCAGTTTTGCCTAATTTAATAATTCGATGAACTAAGAAAGGGAAACAATAAATTGATCCGTTAATTGTTTTTAAAAAATAATTTATATTAAAATAAAAATAAAAAAATTATAATTAAAAATATTATATTATTAAAATACGTAAATATATTATAATTTAAATTTTAAATATTAATTAAATAAACTTAATTTATTGATTATAATTGAGTATTTTAATATATAAATATAATAAAATTTTGAATTTATGTAATAAAAATATTAATTAATAAATAAAATTTAAAAATTATTTATATAATTAAAAATATATTTTTCAAAAAAAATATATAAAGAATATATTAATGGACCCACCTATTAATCCGTAATTACTAGATAAACTGAAACATGTAACTCATCTGAATATGATGGATCAACATGTTTCACCTTAAATATTTTCCGAACTATGTAGGAATAGATTAACCTCTTTTATAATTGAAGTAACAAAATAGAAATTATAATTAAGATTAACAGAAATTTTAAAAAATAATGACATAAAATTAATAAAGTTTTGAGACATGTAATATTTATCTCCGATAGGGTTTAAAATAGGTTTAGGTAGTGTCATAGGTATCTCTAATGACTACTTCTAATTATAATGTGTCACTGTCCTTATTCTCTAGTCATTCTCCCAAATATATAAAAGTTTAGGCGTTGTAGGTTAAAGTACATGAATTATTCTATGTTGAATATTTGACACCCACCCTCATGAACAAGGATTGAACTCTACCAAGTACTAGGCTAGGGATTCCAATAACCACTGTCAAGTTTAAATTATATATAAATTATTTTTAATTACGTCTCTATCATAAATAACTCATCTACCTTCAATATAATCAAACCTCTTCTGCATATTAACATTTAAAGTGTTTATTTTAGAATAATTATAGTCACGTTATTGTAATAAAAAAAAAGTATTGAAGACTTTATTTTTTAATGTTGTTAAAAAAATCAATAAAGGGAGTAACATTTTGTAAGTTAGATGCTAAACAATAATATTTTGGAGTCATGGAAAAAAATGAATAATTTTAACAACTTCAGGAATTAATTCATGTGAGAGGTCTTTAAGGTTACCAATCAATTAAATAGGCTTAGGTTACTTCTGCTCACAATCTCAAGAATTAATATCATTTATTATAATATTGTCTGATATTGACTTATAATATTACCCATACAAATATATATAAAAAAAAACTAAATTATGTACAACCTAACTTTTTTCTCTTATAAAAAACATGAAAAGCTAAAACTTAAATTGCATTAAGTGTTTTTTTTTTAAGATAAAGATAGCATTTGAAATGGTGCAACTTTTAATAAAATAATTAATATATTGTGCATAAAGATAATACGTTACATTTATTTACAATTATTTAAGTTATATAAATATCATAAAATTTTAATCATGTATGAATAATAAATAATTAAGCTGATAAATATTCTTTTAATTGTTTGCCAAAAAATATAAAGTTGGTACTTAGTTAAACAAACAACCATTTCTAAAAACTCAAGCCTAACTTTTTCCTTAAATAGGTTAGGCCACGAGTATTTTAATTTCACGCTTGCATATATGGTTTAGTTCACACCTTCTTGGCACTTTGTCCACCACAAATTTTTTCTCTGATCTTACGTAAATCATTTTCAGACTCGACTTAGATTCGTGTCCAGAAAAGAATGAATTACCAGTGCAAAATCAAAATGGATCATTAAAAAATCTGAGTTATTATCATTATAAAATAATGTTACGAATGAACAAGTTCATAGGTGGATCAGTTGTGGAATACAATTCCATTTAGATGAAGGCTTAAAGCCATGACTATGATCAATTTAGACAAATTCTACCTTTATGAAGTTTCCAATTAACCCTTCATATGTGTTGACTCCCCCAAAAGAAAAAAAAAGATAACAAAGAAAATTTCTATTTCACAATACTAAGCAGCTTTGTTTTACTTTGACAATTAAAGATATAGTTAGGCAAACCTAAAAATCATTTCATGGTCAATAGTTTCTTTTATAAGAGGATTTCATTATTCTAGAAAGCCAATATATTTTTGGTTTCGCAGGTAAATGATAGATTACTAAGCTTGTCCTTAAATGAAAAAAAATTATGTATCTTAATTTACTTGCCTAAAAATAAATGGAGTTTTTTTTAAGTGAAAAATCAGCATAAATTAGGTGAATTTATATGTTATATATATATATATATATATATATATATATATATATATATATATATATATATCATAAAACTACTCAAAAATATTATCTAATAGATTAAATTTATGAGTTGTTAAAAAAAAAGTTAGTAATGTTCTCTAACTTTTTCTAACATGTATTTTAATTCAAATTAAAGAAAAAAAAACAGAAAGCAGATACATTAAACAAAAAAGTTGGAAAGAGGCTCCTAAATAGTGATTTATAGTAAATTAACAAGAAAAGTGAGAGAAAGACTTCAAAAAACATTGATATATAATAAATTTCATCTGATAGTTTTGACATTTCTCTTAAAAAGTCTCTCTCCACAAACAATGGAATAACTTTTCCTTTGTGTGTTTGCACCTGGTGCCTCAAGAATACTTATGAACAAATCTTGTACATATTATGCACTTGCATGTGCGAGTCCATGGTCATTAGATAAAGCAAATAGTTGGACACACATGCACAAGTTCTTGAAACTATCATGAAGAAGAAAACAAAGCAAAATGATGTTCAGCGACCCATCAAGTAATATTTCAATCAGATCAATAACGTTACACTAGCCATTGGATATATGCGAAAATCTCAAATGAGCTGCATGCATACACATGACTAATACACATAAAAAAGATCTTGTTTCTAAGTACAAGTACTTATATGAGCCTAAAAACACCTACGAATCCCTCGATTTTTTTTCCTTTAGACCAGTCTCCACCCACTATAGCAGATTCGTGTCAAGCCAACCCACTTGGAACCGCAGCATCCGAAGCAGGCTAGAGTGTGTGATGATGAGTCAGAATCACATGGCTAAACTATCTCTTCGAATTAACTATATATACAAAGTGGACCATAAACAAGGCCAAAAACCGATATATAGATATAATAGATATAGGTATCACATATAAATATATATAGCAAGAGTAGAGAGAAAAAAGTGAGTACATGCATGGATTGGTTTCAATTAATTCTGGTGGTGTGTCTTGTTGTGAAACATGGAGGGGACTATGTCTTGAAGGAGGCCATATTCAGAAGGAAGATACTGGCTGTGAAGAAGAGAGTTGTTAACGTTATAGGAAGAGTAAATGGAGGGAGGAATAGCACCAGCAGCAGCAGTAGTAACAGTAGTGGTAGTAGTAGCAACAGAGTTTGTTGATTGTGTGGTGAAGAGGGTGTTGTGAATGTGATGATGAGGGTGGTGATGGTGCATGTGAAGGAAGAGATCTTGAGGGAAGTTTGACCCGGCTGCGAGTGGAGTTGGTGTGGCGAGCAAAGAAGGTGTGAACATTCCTGCGGCCGCATTCCCTCTCAGCGATGTGGGGACCGGATGGTTGTGCTGACCTTCATACGTTGTTATCACAGTGGTTGGGTCCTGAAATGACCTCTCCACGCGTTTCTTCACTGTGCACTTCTGTGTAGTGCACCTGTAGTAGCTCCTGCAATATTCACTCACCATCATCATCATCTATCAAAATACCTCACTTCACATCATTTTTTCACTTTGGCCATTGCTATAATATCCGTAGAGAAATCGAAGCCCTTGTGTGAAGTATATGGGCAAATAAGCAATAATGGGGTCTAGTTTGATTTTACTTTTGTTGATTTTCATTAGGATTCAATCGGGTGGTGGAATAATAATCTCTCCAGTAATAAGCTATATTCGAAACAGATTAATTAATTCATCTGAAATGTGAAGATCTAAGAGATTGATGGAAGTGACAACATCAGTGGCAAAGGGAATTTGTGTGTGAATAATTTTATGTGAAAAGTTTAGGTAGGCTGGATTTTGATCTTATTGGGTGCAAGGAAAGGGGAAAAGCGTGTTCATACCTTGGGTAAGGGCTATTCTTGACAGCTTTCTGTCCATATTTTCTCCATCTGTATCCATCTTCAAGGTGATCGACCTCACTCTTGGTCATGAAGGCAAACCTTGGCTCCTTCTGTTTCTTCTCTCCTTTCTTCTTATCCTTGTTCCTGTTAATTTAAAAGAAACAGATTCTAAGTTGCACCATTTAAAGAATAAACAATAAAAAAAATATAAAAAACGTGGGATTGAGCTAGATCAGGTTAAGAAAATGAGAAAAAAATCACTTACCCTTTCTTAGAGTTTTCTCCTCCTCCTCCTTCTTCTGCTTTCACCTGCCTATCTTTTTTGCTCTTTCCTGAGTCTTCTTCAGCCCCGGCTTCAGAAGATGAAGAAGAGATAGATGAGTTAAGGGTCGCAAGGGTTTCACTGCCACCACCACAACCAGCACCTCCATCTCCTCCTTCTGCAGGCTTGTGGTTCCCTTCAACAGATGAGAAAACCTCTGATGAGGAAGGAGAGAGGCCGAAAGAAGTTGCAAGAGAATTGTAGTCCATGCCCCCTTGCAAACACTCAGTGAAGCTCATGTAGGAGGGATCAAAGGGCTGCGAATCATATGGTGTTGAACCTGCAGGGATTAAGGATGAGGAAAAGTGCTTTTCGTACATGTCAGATCCTCCTCCTGTGCCCTGCTGATTGTTGTGGTCTAGGACAAGGTCCTGGTAGTAAAGTTCTTTAGGTTCAACAGACATGAAGAAGAAAGAGAAGAGAAGTATCACAAGAAAAGAGTAGTACTGTGTGTGAGGTCGCGTATGCTTGGTGGGGACTATGTAGCTTATCCCTTCAAGTTATTAATGTGTGTATTTATAAGATTAAGAAAAAAAAAAGGTAAATAAAAAAAGTCTTTGGGTTTGAATGGGGAGCTGCTATGGTCACTTTTAAAAGGAGGTTGACAAAATACCTTCCAATCAGAAGACCAGAAAGTGCTTTCTCATATGGAAACATTTTCAGTCCATGTTACTTCCATTAAGGAAACTGATCCATATTAGTTATGCAGACAGGGTGATTGTCACTAATCAAATATGTATTGCTAGCTCTACAATTACACAACAACAAAAAAATAGAAACACTATTCCTAGCAATTCATACAGCTTCTTATAATCAATGAATATGTATTAATATATAATATAAGAATTCTCTCTGGTCATGAAGACAAAATATAGTATATTGCTGTATACTTTGAGTGAGTACATAGGTATTATATAAAATTTACTTACTCTTATGTAATCTCTATATTAATATTTGGCAGAACAGAATCTTTTAGCCTTTTGAAACTCAAAGAGTTGGAAATAAAAATGTGATTCATTTTTTATATTTGCTTGACTATTCAGTCCAATTGGGAGTCTTCTACAAAACAATAGCTTTTCTTTTCAACCCCAAATTATATATAAAAAAAGAGTCTGTGTATGTTCTCTCCTCCTTCTTTGCCGAAATCCATGAAACCACTATAATTGTAGGTAAAAAAGAAGAAGAAATACAGTAGAATCCAAGGTGGCCTCACCCAGTTAAAATCTTTAGCCGTTGTTTCCATTTTTTGGAAAAGAATAGTCAAATAAAGCATGGTTGACTGTGATATTGTTTTTACGTGAGTCTCATCTCTCTTTCTAGACATATGCAAGTGGATGTTGTAAACACTTTTCAATCCTCTCTAAAATTTCTGCAGTCTTGACAAGGGACATATATATAATTCATCATCGATCCACGCTATTTCAATCATTTAAGGGGTTTAATTTCAGATTTTGAAAATTTTAAAACTTTTAACTAATTATTTATCTATTATGATATAACATGTATAAAAATTAATTATCAATATCTTATGTAAATAACTAATTGATATAGTACGATAAAAATTACTTGAAAGGTCAAAGCTACAATTAAAACATTTACCAAATTACATCATCAAAAATGGATTTGAACCTAATTTAAATTATTTACTTTGAAGTTTTCCTTCGATTAACCATTTTGGATGTAAATTTTTCCTCATTAAATTTGGTAATAGGAATGAGAACGTGTAAAGGTTAAACAGGAATTAGGTTTGTTTGATAAGGTTGCAACACTGACACAGCACAATTTATATACATCACGTGTAAAAAAGAGGGAGGTTGTTCCATTTTGATTGGGCGCGTGTGATGGAGGTGATTGAGGAGCGCGTGGAGAGAGAGGGGGATTAGAGAGTGTGGAAGTCAATGATTCAAAGTTTTGGACTTATAAATTAGAAAATACAAAATTTGGTTTGGGGATAATAGAAAGGTCACACGTGTCTGGGACTGGCACCGGCTTTTGACCGTAGCCGACACAGTGGTAGGCACGTGGCGTAGACGGTTTGTGGTTTTGTTCCGCTGACGAGTTGCTTACGTCATCATCTACACAATTCATAGAATCGCTACTATTGAGGTTTGGCAATGAACATTATTATTGCATGGCCATGCCCATTATTCACACCATCTTCTCCTTAATTTCGATTTCTTCATCTCCTTTCCCTTTCACTCTCTTTGTTTTCCCTTTTTCTAGCTACTACACATGCTTTACGTAAAGGCAATCTAACACCATGCTTGGTCCAATAACAATAAAACCTTCCCCTTCTTCTCTAGGGTACCCTTTTATTTTGTATGTACAAAAATTCAAATTCATGATGATGACGATGATATATATATATTGAGTATTATCGTGTATATGTTTGTCATAGATGCCGGAGAAGATAGATAGAAATGATAGTGTAGTTAGCAACAAGTTGGCACAGTCCAATAATGAGGTTAATATTATAGGGAGAAAGAAAGTCTTATAATGTCATAATCCAAGAATAATGTAGTTTGTAGGTTCATCACATCACATAAAGTCCATAAATTTGTATATATACACAATCCTTTGAAATGAAAACGTTGAGTTGAGATACTCAGTATTTATTTAGGTCAAGGGTAAATCCGTCCCAAATAATAACTAATACCAATCCTATTTTTATTTTATGTCCTTCTCTCCTTTGTCCTCCCAATAATTAATTAAACATTAATTTAATTAAAGTTGACAGCTCATTTGTTTAATGCACCTAATTAACCATTAATAACGATATTAACCTTAACATGAATATTGTTGCACCTTCATTAATTGTTTTTTCTTGTTGTCGCATCCTTCCTTTGTAGTTCTTTCTTGTTCATCTTCACTGACCCATGGAGTAAGAAAAATTGAAGAGTCAAGTGCTTCTGTTGACCCCAGAAAATAAAATAAAGGACAAGAAAGTGTTTGCATAGTGAAAATATATACTAGGGGAGAATCTTCAACGACCAATGCAGACCCCCCACACAAAATTTCTTGGATTTTGTTATCAATTTTCCACAAGTATATTTATTAGGTTAACATGGTGTGTCAATATCTAAATAAGTTTTGATTTTTGTCATTCATAGAATTGAAAACAAACATTAGAGTTTACACCACTTTACAAACCCTACTCAACCAACTATTACCAACTGAAATACACTCCCTTAAACAGTTTTGAGTTAACTTAAGTAATATGCATTAACTATGACATGCATCTATTTTCTCCTATCTTAAAAAAGTTCAAGTCATTAATAATTCTTGTTTTCTTTTATACAAATTTTCAGGTTTTCTTTTTCTAACTTTGAAAACATGCTCTTAATTATGATAATCATCCTATCGTATAAGCGTGCAAAATCTTCTTTTTCTTAAAAAATAAATAAATTATCAAATGCTTATAATATCTCTTATCCTATGACGTAAATTGACATTAATGTTATAGAGGTTCGATCTAATATTACGTCCATCTTTTATTATAACATAAATCTACGTTTTTCATATTAACATTGAAACTTAATAAGACGTATTTAAAATAATAAACATGAAAAACTTTATCCTATCCAAAATTGATGCATTGTTTTGCTCATATAATATTAAAGAGTATACTAGCAAACCAAATTCCACTCAATACGATGGAACCATCAACAAACATTTTTTTTTCGTAAAAAATATAATTTTAATGAAAAAAATGTTCTTTTTTTAATCTTAAAAGATTTTTTATACAAAAATGTATTTTTTAATAAATTTTTAAATGTTAGAAAGAGATTTTAAACAAACCCTGAAACTCAATCAAAATATTTTACTTAATTTTATTTTTAACAATTTTATTGACCATTTTAATTTATCGCCATTTTCTAAAGTTACCATTTCAAACTCCATATAAAAACACTAGTATTTCAATAAATGATTTATACTATATTTATGGCTGGTTCTTAATATTTTAATTAAATTATTTTATTTTTCTTTTGAATATATATATATATATATATATATATATATATATATTATACATTATTTTGTAATCACTATTTTTCTTCATCTATTTCCTTAACTAGTTTCTCAACTGTCCCATCATTTTATTTTATTATTTTTATCCCTAAATTAAATATTGAAAATATCTCCACATCACTGTTTAACTTATTGTTATAAAAGTTAACCATTTATAATAAATTGTAATAATATTTAAATAAAAACTAATCTTATATAATTTACAAGCTATTAATTTCTTTTATTGAAAATATAGTTTTAAACTTATTAATGAATGCTAATTTATAATATAACCGGAAGATAAATTTTTTATTTTTGATTAAAAATACACAAAAAAATACTTTAATTAATTTGTTCAATATTTATATTTAATTTAAAAGAAAAACTTAAACAAACTTGATCGTGTTGTATATACATCTCATCTCACTTAATAATAAATTAAATACTTCCTAACCAACTACTAAGAAGATAAGAAGGGTATTGTGAAAGATAAAATTCATATTTGTAAATTATATATGTATGAGTGAAATTAAAATTATGCAAAATACATAAAGTGAGTCATAAAATCTCTTCCAGTTAACAAATTGAGTTGTCAGAGCATATATAAGTTCTCTTAGATAAAGTAAAAGAATGTGATTGAATAGTTGAATAATTTTGTTATTTGAATTCATGGGTTGATAATTGACCGATTTAATATTTTAAGTCAATGTGAAAAATTTATTTTTTAAATAAAGTATATTTTTAATTATAGGCAGATATATCATAAAATAACGATCACTAGATTTATATATATAATTACGATCACCAGATTTATATATATAATATTAAAGAGACAAAATAAAAAAATTAAATACTTATTAATAATTTTAATAAAATCAGAAAATATACATATGTTCTCGTATGTATATAAATCCGTATCGATTGAGGTTTAGGTATATTAAGTATTATTATCCGAGATATTTTACGAAACAATATGATTATCATATCAGTATCTTGAGATTAAGTATACTCATGAATTATATTTTGGAAAATATCTAATACCCTTATCCGTTATATAGCTATTAAAACCGGGTTAATACGCGAAGTAACTAAAAAAAACATCTATAGCATGTTAAGAAAAGCCTTGAAAGGAGAAACGAGGATAAAATATAGTGAGATTCAATGACAAGGAGAAATAAGTTTGATTAAAATGAAGAACAAAAAATAGCGAAGCGATGCAAGTATGAGGAAGCAATTGACATAACTAGACTTGTAAATTGTTGTAGTGCACCTGGTGTGGGTCATGATAATATAAAAATAGTTTTAGCACTCCACAAATTTTATTTTGATGCAATACTAATTAATGAAAAGGTGTGTGGACACTTGATAACTCTAGATCATGGTCAACAAGACCCAA